AGACCAGCTCTGTGAGGTGTTCTTGGAGGGAACTGCCTACATCTGTTTCTGCTTGCCCTGTGCCCCATGAATTCCTACACGTCTGCCAGTAGCTGGCTTTCTGGGTTGGTAATGCTTGAGTGTTCTGCTTTGGAACTAGACTCTCTGCCTCAGTGTGGTCTTTTTCTGTAAATATTGAAGATATGTAGATTATATTCTAAAATAAATACTTAATTCCTTAATATGTGGTATAAATGTGAATTGACACATTGTGTTGGAGCCAGTGCAGCATTTCTTCAGGCGCAAGTCCTTGAGCCTGAAGAGCACAACTTACTCCGACTGTAGCCCAAAATAACCTCCCAATCCTGTTCCTGGGATAGACCTCTAGGAACAGTATTTCAGGAGGTGTTTTGGACTGCCACAGGAAGGAAGAGCTAAGGAAGCTGTGCTCTGTGGGCAAAAGTCCAACTTGGACTCTTCATGATGCCAGGCCTCTCCATGAATCACTGAAAACTCTAGGGTAAAACCATTTCTATCACTTTCTAGAGCGGCTGACATCCCTTCCAGGTTTTCCCCAGGAGTGATATCATACCATTGGCCTAATAGCTTTTCTTTTTCTTTTACAAATTCTCCCTCTGCTGTTGGGGCAGTGGTAGCAAAGGTGGGGCTCTGTTTTTTCTTTCTGTAAGGTGGTAAAAGTCATGCCTATATTTGTTTTGAAGGTAAACTCTCACCCTTTCCCTGGGTGATGGATTAACCTGTCCCGTTGCTCTCTCCTGTTGCCAAGAAACAGAGAAGAGTGTGTGAGTTTGTGCCTTTGCCTTCTGAAAGCAACAATGGTTGATGATGACCTCAGCTTTGAAGCAGTCTGTCATTGCTAGTTCAAGCTATTCTGCTTGTGTAGCTTGATAGATATTAGATTCTAGCCGATATGCTCGCTGTTACACTTAAGACTATAAGGAAATGGTTGCACTGAAATTGACTTCATTTCTCCTCTGCCCCACCTCAGGAGCATTTCCCAGCCTTGTGCCTGTGTGTAAACATCTGCTGGAGCAGTGACTGCCTTGCCCTTTTGTTTGAAAGCAAACAAAACTGGCACCTTTGGTCAAGGACAATGGTTTTGAACCTGTTGGGGATATTTCTGTACAGTGCTAAGAGCAAAACTGAATTTAAATTACAAGGGTGAAACTGTGAATAGCCTCTTGTGAAACCTCCCCTACGTAACAAGAGAATGGGCAGGGTTTCAGGGACTTCTCAAAGTGCAGGAAGTTGATACAAGACTAGTGATTAGAAATCTAAGAAGGGTGGTCACTACTGATACGATACCTGTTACAAAGGCAGAGAAGGCCTCCATCTTTAATGACATACAATTTTGCCCAAGCACTGCTTACCATGCAAGAGTGAGAAGAGGCATCTTCTGCATAAATTTGCCTGAGCCCGAGTTTGCTGTGTGTCTTCTCCACCTAAGAAATGGTACCAGACAACTAGTTGTGTCTCTTTAATTGGCATGTTCCATCTTTACAAGAGCAAAAGGCTGTCCCTGTGCTAAACACTGATCATATCCTAGTCTGGAATGGCCTACATTGCTTGCTTCCAGTTTCCAATGGCTTGATAAGTATTGCATACAAGGATGAGTGTTTAGAGATAATTATTCTAATGTGTTAGGATACCTAGTTAGTTGTCTTCGAATTTATTTTTTTAGTTCAGGTCTGTGCAGGGCCGGCTCACCCACTAGGCAAACTAGGCATTCGCCTAGAGCGTGGGCCGGCCCTGGCCCCTTAGGGGCGCCAAACAAGACCTGGCCTCTCCCCCCCCCCAAAAAAAAGCCCTGCATGATGATCTTGCTTCCCTGACTGGGTGAGTGCTGCCGCCGCCGCTGACTGGCCAGTGGTCCTAGGGCTGAGCACCGCTGTGCCAAACTGCACACGGCGGCCTCGCCCCCACCAAAAGCCCACACGCTGCCCAGAAACCCTGCCTCTTCCTGCCTTCCCCGCAAAGACTGCTGGCGGGCCCGCCTCGCGCCTCCCCTCAGACAGCACCCGAGCACATGTAGGCTCACTGTAGCCTGGCTCAGTCGTGGTGGTGTGTACATGGGCACGGCGTTACCGGCAAGTGTGCCCACACGGCGCTCAGGGGGAGAGAACACACTCCTCCTAGGATCTGCAGACTGCAGTCTTCCAAATAAGCAGCGGAGCCCCCTTCCTGCTCCCCACCACCTCCCAGACTTCTCCTCCTCATACGCATCTGGCCCCTTGCTCTCCTTCTTTTCCCCTCCAGGCTGCTTAGAACTGAGAGCACACTCTTGCGCCAGGCTGTTGGCCCGGCGCAGCTTTCCTCCTCCCTCCTCTCCAAACTCCCTGCTGCTGGTTTCGTTGTGCGTCAGCCGGTAGCGCCCCGATGGCTCCTTATGGCCCCTCCAGGCAGTCTTCCTCTTCCGTGTGTGAGTTGGGGGCTGGGGCTCGTGTTGCAGCCGGCGTGGCTTCCTTGGGGTCTGGCTCCATGCCCAGGAGCAGTGGCAGGGCAATCCCAACTGGCGTCGGCATCTCCAGGGACGTGTCACCATTGGGAGAATCAGAAACTGGAGGAAGGGGGGAGCGGGCTGGGAGCGGAGGAGAGGCCTCTTCGTTGCAGAATCCCTGCAAGCTCTCCTCCTCTTCCTTCTCTCCAGGCCCTGCCTGGAAGTTGGCAACCCCTTAATTAATAGGGACGCATACGGGGGTGGGCGCCAGCAGGTAGCCCTGCCTAGGTTGCAAAAAAACCTTGGGCCAGCCCTGGGGCTGTGACTATCTCTTGGGGTCTCCAGCTGGATAGTATGTTCCAAGTGAGCGTTGTGGTGGACCTTCTGGGGGTTTCCTCAGCTTTTCTCTGATCTTTCTCAAACCTGCTTTGTTCTAAAGTTCTGGGAAAGATCATAGCAAAGCCAGGGTGGCTGGTGTACGGGCAGGAAAGTTCGGACTTTCTGGGTCCTGCTGACACAGTAGCCATTTCTCCCTCAACAGCCATTTCCTCTGCCTGTCATCAGGGCTCCTTTTTCTTTTACTTTTAAAAATCCATGATTGAATAGCTTTATATTGATATACCAATATGTTTCAGATTCCCTGAATTCTCAGCTTTCACTGGGGGGGGGAAGTCTCCTGCCCCTTTCCTTGCAGAGCTATAAGGAAAAATACTTTTTCCATCAATTGAAATTTGGTAATTCAAAGAACTTAGGTGGAAGCCTTGTTGCTACTGCACTATTCTTAGCAGCCACAGCAGCCATGGGGAAATGACACTGGATTGTCTCTGTGTGTGGAAAGCACCTCTGTTTGTCTGCTGCAGTCTCTGCAGCTCTGAAATGTAGCATTTACCTATAGGATAGTTTTCCTTATACCCTGGTCCCCACCAGTGATCCTATGCAGTGTTCCCTCTAAGTTGAGTTAGTGTGGGCTAGCTCACAGTTTTTTAGCCTCCGGCTCACAGATATTTGTGTTAGCTCAGGAAGGATGGCTCCAGAGCAAACTAATTTATGCAGTAGCCAAATGACCTGCTCACAACTTTAATGCCAGTAGCTCACAAAGTAGAATTTTTGCTCACAAGACTCCACAGCTTAGAGGGAACATTGGTCCCCACCTCCCAATCTACTGAGATCATGACTCAATGCTGATGCAGGCCATACTGGATGCATGCAGCGAGCAAATGGGGAGTCTTTCTCTGTTAGTACTGAAATTAGAGAAGGTATCTATTTTCCATGGGAAGGCTGCAACTCAGTGGGAGAAAGCGTGTTTGTCATGCAGAAGACGGTGGATCTGGAGGTGCTTGGAGAGGCTTCTGCCAGAGATCTGCTGCCAGTCAAAGTAGACAGCACTGAACTAGAAAGACCCGTGGTCTGGCTTGATCTAGGATGACTTTGTACAATCATCCCAATGTTATGTGAGAAAAAGGACACTCATTCCACTCCGTGTATAACCAGGGGTAGACCACCACCTTTTTTGGTTTTTATTTGAATACAAAAAAATACAAAATGGGACTAGCTCTCATTTCCTAAAAGGGTAAAGATATTTAAAGTTTAATGCAATCACTAATTTAAATAAAATTGCAATGTTTTTATCATAGTGATAGTTTTATCTAACATTTTGTTTGATCCCTATTTCTTACTGAACCTATGTTATCTCAAAGTAACATAGCAAAATAACAAAATGTTAGATATATACTGATAAGGGCTCTTTAAGAGCATCTGCTGGTGTCATCATTTAGGGTATATATCAATAGAATAGAGAGACTCATTCAGCTTTGAAGCTTAGTCTGATACAGACAGGTCCGATATGAGAAATCTTCAGAGGTAAGCGTTAGCTATGATAAAACTATCACTATGATAAAAACATTGCAATTTTATTTAAATTAGTGATTGCATTAAACTTTAAATATCTTTACCCTTTTAAAAAAACGAGGGCTAGTCCCAACATTAACTGTAGCAACTCCTGAGAAGAGGTACCTTTAGAAATCAGAAAGTGTAATTACAATTCAAGGAAAACTCTAACACAATATAAGGTAGTAAAATAATCCTTTATTGCAGGTTTTTTACATTATGTAGATTACTATTATATGGATTATGTGAATGTCGTGTAATTAATTCTGTTTTGCAGTTGATTTGCTTCTGATGAAGTTATGATACGAAACCAAGCAAAAGCTGGCTGCTTTGTTAGGATATGTTGACTGTTATTATGATTATTCCACAGTTTCTTGGCTATCAGCAGTAACAATTGTACTGTTTGTATATCACTGAGATATTGTATAGTATTGGCTTTCATGCCCTGTATGGAATTTTGTATACTTTGAGATAACATTCAAATATAAAAGTGACTGTATTTGCTTACATATCTAAGTGTTTGAGTGAGTTCACCACACTGTTTTCCCCCCAGTTTGCCTTTTCCTTTAGTCCTTATACTGGGAGGTCTGTCTTTTTGGTTTTGCCCAATGGGTGTCTGGCATCCCTATGCCTGTCCCATACTTATTCTTGTAAATAAGTTTATTTTCTCTCTTAGCTCGGTGGGGCAGCACTCCTGGGCATTGGCATCTGGGTCAGTGTTGACAGCACCTCTTTTATCAACCTGTTTGGCCCACTGTCCTCCAACGTCTTGCAATTTGTGAATGTGGGCTACCTCCTTATCGCCATTGGAGCTGTCCTGTTTGCACTGGGCTTCCTAGGATGCTGTGGAGCTCAGAGAGAGAGCAAGTGCCTTCTGATCACGGTAAGATGCTACCACAAAACGGTTGTGGTCTCTGGTCTGCTACTTGCCTACCCATGTAGGAGAGTTCATCTATAGAAAGAGTGGTTAAGGCATGATGAGAAGCTGTCCTCTTCATGAGGCTAGTCTGTTAAAGCAGAAGGGTCTCTGGACCATGCAGTTAATCGACCACATGAGAGAATTTCTTAATCCTGACTCTTCTGTACATGGTAGCTGTGTTTGTGGGGGCGTGCACTTTTCTCTTAGGATGGTCAGTGGTGGATTTCAGTCCTCCAACTCTTCTTTTAAAAGCATTAACCATTCAAACTGAACTTTGTTTAATCATTGTGCTGGTATTTCAATGACTTATTTTGGTTACTTGAATTTGATATGAGGCAAAGCTAATGTTCAGTAAAATAAGTACCCTGGACAAATGCAAATGATGGTCTTGTTTTCTCAAGCTGAAAATGACTTCTAGTCAAAGATCGTGCAGCTTTTCTAGTAATTTTGTTTTGTTGATATGCTTTACAGCATCTTAATCCATGGCTTCATATCCTTTTCTTGGAAGGTGTCTTCCCTGCCATTGGAGACTTTAAAAATTGTGTTGCTTCTGCTCTGCTTTTTAGTAAGCAAAATGTTTTGCTCAGACTGCAGAAAAGCTTGCATATCTGCCTAAATTTCTAGAAAAGGAATGAAGAAGTGACATGGTATATGCTCTCAGTAACCTGAAAAGGATGAAAGGAGTTTTTACTGGATGGGATGGAGATGGTTCAAAAGGCTGTTTTTTTTTTTAAAAAAATGGTTCTTTTTATTTGAAGAACAGTCTTTAATCAGCTTCCTCTTAAAAGACGTAAGCTAGGTCATTCCCCACTATGTAAGAGAGTTCTCAGTTACTGAGAAACCCCTACTAGAATATGCTGTTAACATGCCCTTTTTAGTTCAGAGTTCAAGGTAACTGGTCAGGGAGCAGTTATAGCTACAAAGAGCTGTAGAGGACATTTGCAGTCATTCTGTTTTTGCTCACTCCACAGAGAACCAGTACAGTCTGACTCTTTTCTCTCTTCCTAGTTCTTCTCCATTATCCTGATCATCTTCATAGTTGAAGTTGCTGCTGCAGTGGTGGCTCTGGTCTACACATCTGTTGTAAGTAGAAGGGATGAATGTGGGGCAAGAAGACTTAAGTGAGAGGAGAGTAGCCTACTGTCTTCAGCCTTGGATATTTTGGGTGGCTGATTGACTTCTTGAATTGATTGATATCTTGAATAGTTGCTGATAGGGATGCCTCTAGGAAGTGTGACAATTCTACTCTTTCAAGGAGTAGACTTCCAATCATCCACTCTTATAGCATACTAGGAAAAATGTTTACATTTGAAAAACTCAACAAGCACAGATAAAGTTCCAATTATGGAACAACCCCCCAGGGAGGTGTGCCTGGCTCCCTTGTTGCCTGTCTTCAGGAGGCAGTTGAAGGCAGTTTTATTCAGGACTGCATTTGACTCATTTATAGTTTTTATTGGCAATCCTAATTGGAGGTTTTTGGTTGCTGACTTTTAATGCAGTTTCTTTTTATTGTGTTTTTTAAAATACTGTTTTATTCATATTGTAAGCTGCCTTGAGTTCTGCAAGGGAGAAAAGCAGCTAATAAATGTTGTAAATATATAATTTTTCATCTCATTCAACTCATTTCATGAGTTTTCTTCTTTGACAAGCTAAGAGGGGTCCAGGAGACTATGTTCAGCATGGTTGAGGTTTGCAGCATGAAAGCCTTCTGATAATTTGGCATAAAAATATGAACAAATGAGCACAATTGCTTTTGTGTACTGCATATAGGAATTTGACTTGAGTTAATGGAACATATTTAAGGTAATCAAGTGGCTTAATGTGCAAAATGGGTCCAGAACTTCTCAGAAGGGAGGCTATACTTCTGTGGTTTGTACAGCAGAACTTCTAAAGAAAGCATGCATGGCAAAGTAAAATGCATGACAATAAGATGCGTGACAGTTATTGGATTTTACCCTTTAACATACATAAAAATTTTAGGTGCATGCGAAGACGAAAAGGTCTCCCAGCCTTTAGAAGGAGATCTATGGACCTATTTTATTTTTCTGGAGACATGAGAAGCCAAACTAGTAGGAGCATCCATGGTGGTCTGATCATGTGTCTCTCCTAATAAAAATAAACTTTGCTGTGTCTAATTTTTCACATCAAAAAGGGGTGTGCAAAAGCGAACCCCCGTCTTTTACATAAGAGCAAAGAATGCTTCCAGCATTCAGCACTTACTCTGACTAGATAAACCTAAGAGCCAGAGTGCCCAATTTCACCACTTCTTTTCCCGGCCACATCCCAGCTGGTATGTTCCGCAGTAAAGGAGACATGCTATCCACTAAAAAAATTGGAACGTATCTATCCACTAGAAAACAGGGTAGCATGAAGTCCTTACCAAAAGAGCTAGATTTGATTGTACCTTAATATGAGTTCCTCAAGGAACTCAAGGAATCAACACTGCCCTGTTTGTTAATGGATAACTCCTTTGACGAAGATGCAGAGGAGCCATGATGTGGCAGTTGCCAGAAAAAGCAGGAAGTGAAACACATTGTGACAAGGAAGCCTCAAAACAAGTGTTTAGGGGAAAGCAAAATTATTGCTGCTTCAATGTAACAAGCCTTTTGCTTGCAACAAGGGGAAATTCTACTTCCCACACACCAGATATGGTTAACACTTCAAAGTAATAGTTGTTGGCCTATATGTTCCATAGTTACAGAAAGAATAGACCTCACAAATGTGCAGTAGTATTTATGCAGGTTTCTTTAAAAGTCCCATGGGGTTCAATAGGACTTTCCCAAGTAAATAAGGCTAGTATTACAGGCCTCATCAGTTAAGAACATAGAAGAACAAGAGAAGAGATTGGATTTATACCCCGCCCTTCACTACCCAAGGGAGTCTCAGAGCGGCTTACAACCTCCTTTCCCTTCCCCTCCCCACAACAGACACCCTGTGAGGTAGGTGGGGCTGAGAGAGCTCTGACAGAAACTGCTCTTTTTTCAAGAACAGCTGTGCCAGAACTATGGCTTGCCCAAGGTCATCCAGCAGGTGCAGGTGGGGGAGTGGGGAATCAAACCCGGTTCTCCCAGATTAGAGTCCACACATTTAACCACTACACCAAAGGGCCATGCTGGATCAGACCAGTAGTCCATCTTGTCTCTCAAACTGGTCCACCCATTCCTCTGGAGGTCCAACAACAGGGCAAAGGGACCGAGGCCTTCCCCTGATGTTGCCTCCTGACATTGGGATTCAGAGGCTGACTGCCTCTGAACGTGGAGGTTCCCTTTAGTCACCATGGTAGTACCCACTGATAGACCTATCCTCCATGAATGTATCTAATCTCCTTTTAAAGTTTTCTCTGCCAGTGGCCATCACTACATCTTCTGGCAGCAAATACCACATTTTAATCACTCTCTATGTAAAGAAGTACTTCCTTATGTCTTTCTTGAATCTACTGCCCGTCAGCTTCATGGGATGCCCCTTAGTTCTAGTATTTGGAGGGAGGGAGAAGAAGTTCTGTTTGTCAACTCTCCCCACCCCTGCATAATTTTATAAACCTCTATCATGTCCCCCCTTAGTCGTCTCTTTCCTAAATGAAAAAGTATCAGATTCTTCAGCCTTTCCTCATAGGGTAGGTGTTCTAACCCCTTAATCATCTTGGTTGCCTTCTTATGTACTTTTCCATCTCTAGAATGCTCTTTTGATATATGGTGACCAGAACTGTATACTGTATTCCAAATGAGGCTACACTATAGTTCTAAACAAATGGCTCACATTGGATGCCTTGTATAGCTTCTGCAGTATCAGTTTAGTTAGATGGATCAGATGAAAAAGGCCACATGACTTCAGAAAACTATTATAAATAATTATTGAGCAAATAGGATTTTTGTAAATATTCCATTCTTATTTTCTGTTGTGTGCAACTGAGAAGAGTTGGGGTAGTAGTTTCTTATGAACTGGTGTGTCATATGAAGACTGAAAGCAAAAGTAGTGTGGAATTGAGTCTTTGTCTCTCCAACAATATTACTACATTGTTTTGGGCATGATTACATCTTTCTTTGCAGGCGGAGACTATATTGCAAGGAACAGTAACCCAGACATTGAAAAATGACTATGGTCAGAACAATGAAGTGACAACTGTCTGGAATAAAACAATGGAAGAAGTAAGTTTTCATAATTATGAAGAATGACTACTGACTGATACTTTGCTTAAACTTCTATAGAAAACCCAAATACAAGATAACAATGGCATTGCTTTGCTTCATCATGGTTTTGATTTCTACTGGGATATGTGTCTGGTTCTAGCTGGCAGACTTGACAAGGGTACAAGCAACCAGTGTAGAAGCAACCAGCACAGGTTATGAAAAAGTTCTTTGGAGTTTCAAACACACAGGGAAGAACAGACTTTGAGTGGGTAACTGTTGGTTTAAATAGCTAAATGGGTGCCATTATGCAGACATGATTGCTGTGAGAAGAGCAAGACATGATGAGTTTCCTGTTGCAAAAGAGTTTCTTTTATTGAATTAAACAGTAAATGAGGAGGGACTATTTATAGTAAGAGTTTTTTAGAGCAAATGGAATTGTTCAAGAAACTGGTACACTTCAGCGTTTTCATGTCTGGAGGTCTTCCAGTGAGGTCTGCTGGCTTCTGATATAATAATACTCAAGTTAATAGCTTAGGGTTGCCAGCCTCCAGGTGTTGCCTGGGGATCTCCTGCCTTTACAACTGATCTCCAGCTGACAGAGATCAGCTCCCCTGGAGGAAACAGCTGCTTTGAAGGGTAAACTCTATGGTATTGTACCAAGCTGAGACCCCTCCCCTCCCCTCCCCAAACCCTGCCTTCTCCTGGATATATCCCCAAAGTCTCCAGGTATTTTCCAACTAGGGGTCTCAAATCCCCCCCGGGGGGCGGAATTCCCCCCCCGGTTTCGAGCCCCGATTCCCACTCCCGTGGAATCCCTCAAATGGCGTCGCCCCGCCCCCAGCGTGTGACGTCACTTCCGGGTGACGCACGCGCTACATGCGCGCGCACGAAGAGGACGCTGTCCGGGAGCCCCCTGCTCCCGGACGAATTTCATTTGGCAACCCTATTTCCAACCCAGACCTGGCAACCCTATTCTAGCTAGAAGCCTTCCATATTTGACTAGATATTAACATACACATTTCCCCTACTCCACTTCCTTTAAATCTGACACCTTGAACATTATTCCTTCTCTGTCTGCTTTGTATTTTCACCACTGTAAGTGGAAGAAGCAACTTGCAGCTTAGAATGATCGCTGGAGGCAAAAGTTTCTGGAAACATGGGTTTCATTAACAGATAAATACTAGTGTCACCTTCCACCACCACCGTACCCTACTGTTCCATCTCCTGTGTTGGATGAGCACTCCTGTGCGGCAGAAATGCAGTCGAGGAATATGAAAAGGAAGCAACTTTTTATTCATTCTCTATAAAGCATCAAATTTACTCCTCTTTTGTGAACGACACTGCATTTTGGAGACTATGTTGCCTAGACATGCAAAGGCAAAGGGTTCAAGCAAGTTCTAGAATCCATATCCAGTCTGACTGAGCTGAGGAAAAGCAACCTGCAACATAAAATTGTCCTCCACAGGAGTGCCTTTAATTTCTTACTGGTGTTGTAATGTGCATGGCTAGGTGGACAGGTGTCCCTTCTGCTTGCTCTGATACTGGAGATGATGCTAAAAGTGGAGCAGTAGCATCCTGAGCAATTAGAGTGGCCAGAATTTACTAGTATCCCTGACTGCTGAGCAGAGCTGTTGTTGCTTTAAGGCTGTGGTTCAAGGGTAAACTCTAAGTCTGATGAATACCTTAATTTTGGTGTGATGATGATGGTTATCGAAGTTGCTGAGTAATTCTGCTGTCTTATGGAAGCGGTACTTGTGAAGGGACACAGGAATATGCTAACATCCTTTTTTTTACTCCTCAGCTGAAATGCTGTGGCTTAATGAACTACACAGATTTCAATAACTCATACTACTATAACCATTATAACCACTATCCACTATTCTGCTGCAAGAACAGCACGTCCTGCACTGCGGAAATGGCTCATACGTCCAATATAACAGTAAGAAAACAAATGGCTGTTCCTTGCATTGTGTAGGGGGGCAGGGATTTCAATACACCCAGCCTTTGTATTGGGGGCATCTTACCAAGGTCAGGTAATGGTGCTTCTAAAATAGGTTAAGATGGTTTTTCTGATGGCCATGAACAACATTGCTCTTTTGGGGAGCAGAAAGCTGGGTACCTCTTCTGAACTCGTTAAATCTTACAGCTGAGGGGGTATTTTATAGATAGTGATTAGTGACTTTCACTCAGATAATAACTGTTATTAGGGTTCTGAGCTGAGGACAAAAGGAATATGTGTTTATAAAATGATGGGTTTAGTGTATTTTTTTGTTTTAATTAGTGTGTTTTGTGATTTTTTTTAAATACTGTTTTGTTTTACTACTGATCACCTTGGGTCTTGACTTGGTCAGGACAAAGCTGGGTATATAAACATTTTAAATACATTTCTGTCAGATTTATGGGTAGAATTTCTGGGGAACCGGTTCAACTAGAGTTATGGATGGGTCTGCATACTGACCTCTAGCATGGCCATGGCCAGGGGTCGTTTCGTAGAAAAAGAGCTAGGGGAACTCATTAGTATAACTCATTAGCATACGCCACACCCCCTGACATCACCAGAAATGTGCCATAAGGCCACACACCCCACCCCCAACGGTCCCAGCCACCACCGTCGGCCTTGCAGCTCCACTGCCGAGCCCCATGAGGGGCCCGGCGGTGGACCTGCAAGGCCGGCGGGAGTGCAAGGAAGCCCCACGAAGGCCCTCCCTGGCCCCAGGCAGGCAGGGGTGGGGAGAGGCAGGGAAGAAGCAACTTACCCTCCCTCTTCTCCTGCCTCCTCTTGGCTGAATGAGGGCCGGAAGCGGGGCGGCCGGAAGCAGGGGGCGGGGCTTCGTCATGTGCTCCGCCCCCCATACCTCACCCGGGGGAACTGCGATCCCCCACGATCCCCCCCCCGAAATGACCTCTGGCCATGGCTGCTGTGATCCAGGCACTTCCCAACCTGGGGCTGGCAACCCTAGTTGTTGGGCAGGTGGAGGCTCTGCTCCCAACTTTCACCATTCTATACCTGCACAGCCAGCCACAGTCTCCTCATCTGACACCATTAATCTCTCCTGTAGCTGATTGCCGGAGCCACCATGGCTGCAACTGGGTGACAGACAAAGGCTCCAGTGGGGGTGGGGAGGCACAGGAGACCCCCCCAGCAATGCTCCCTCTAAGCTGTGGAGTCCTGTGAGCAAAATTCTACTTTGTGAGCTACTGGCGTTAAAGTTGTGAGCGAGTGATTTGGCTACTGTGTCAATTAGTTCTGGAGCCATCCTTCCTGAGCTAAGACAAAAAATGTGTGAGCTGGAGGCCAAAAAACTGTGAACTAGCTCACACTAACTCAGCATAGAGGGAACACTGGCCCCCAGTGCAGGGCCCATGGCAAATGACCCAGTTGCCCAATGGCTAAGACCACCCCTGGTGCCTAAAAGCTTGTGAAGTTGCAGATAGGGACATACACACCACCATTCCACTCAGTTGAATTTTAAGTCTTCATCCAGCTTGTGAAAAAGCCACTATAGTATGAGGGAGGCTTTACATTTTGCTCAGTAGAATGGTAAGGTACATGTCATTGGGTTGGATCCAGCAATGCATAAGTGGCGATGTAAACAGACTTAGTACAGTTCTGCTTCCATATACCTTACAGTGCCCAGAAATAGCTTGCACAACACCTTGTGCAAATGGGAAAGCAGTTTGGGATACAATATGTTTAACATGGTGCAAGGGGATAGCATGAGGTTATTTCCATGCTTCTGCTAGCAATAAGGATCATAATGCATGCAAAAACCATCCAGTGGATCCAAGCCAGTATCTCCCCCCCCCCGCACCTGCCTAGTGTGCTGAAGCAAGCTTATGCCAGTGGGGTGACCTCTGAAATGTAACTGTTTCCCATTTCTAATGCATCTCTCTTGTTTGACTATGGCCTGTACTGTAATGAAAATTGCTTTTTTTTGTAAATCCTAGGGCTGCTTTCCTCAGTTGCTGTCTGAAATACGTTCAAATGCTGGTGTAGTAGGAGGAGTAGCAGCTGGGATCTGTGTGCTGGAGGTATGTTAATATATGGAGGTATATTTCACCCCCTACTTTCTTCTGGCTGCGGCTTTTCCCAACCAGCAGAAAGCAGGGGATGAAATTTCTGCTGGTCATGAAAATGGCTTGGAAACCATTTAAATCCCTGCTTTTTGCTCTCCACGAACCACCAGGAACTGCATCAAAATTCAATAAAATTTGTGGCGGCTCTTCAGTTCATGAACATGGCTTCATGAACCAGCTACAATTCATGATGAACTTTAGTTCGTGAGCCGGATTGTGCCCATCCCTAGCAGTGGTACATGGTAACAATGAAGGAAGAACCCTTTCATAATAACAAAGGCCTGATCTTGATCTCCACAGGAAACCTTTATCTGTCTTGGTGTGAATCAAATGTACAAGCTATATGTTGCTAAGCTGTATGCAGGACTTGTCAGTACTGAACACTTTATCTATCCATCCTCTTCTCCCTCCTTATAACATCTATAAGGTTTAGTAAGAATGTACAGTCTGTTCCTAGTTTTGAAGCTATGTCAGTGTAACGAAACTTGAACTGAAGTAGTAGAAAATTGTCCTTCTGTCCCATTTTGTTTTCCAGATTGCAGCCATGGCTGTAGCCATGTACCTGTACTGTCGCCTAGATGAGAAGTGAGTAGGACAGAAGCGTAGGAGGACCACCAGTCAGGAGGCAAGAGAACGGCACACCTAGCAACCTTTTCTAAAATGTGTCTACAGCAATCAAACATTTCTTGGGCCTGAGGCATCTCATTTGATTAATTTATTTGACTCTACCAAGCTGGAATCTATAGTATGTACATGAATGAAAAGTGGTTTGATATGAAATTTTTGTGAAGCGAAGAGCTCTTGTTTTGAAAGCCAGAGATAAGGAGACCAAGGACTGAAAGGAAGACAGTATCTCTCCCTTCCAGAAGTTGCCTTTGTTACCACAGGGAACTTTCCGGCGAGTTAGATACCTGGCATCCTGAAACTAGTATGAAATCTCTCTCTTTTCCTGGGAGAATGAATTGTTCAGAATGCTGCTGATGGTTTTAAATGGCTCCCATTTCAATGCAAATAATAGAGTTTTAACCCCCAGATGATATAAATAGGAGTCAATTGCACTTCCGGGTATAAATACCAGCCTAACTGGTAAAACAAAAACCAGGCAGCTGTTGGGATTGGTGCTGCATGGCTAGAAGACAGAAACAGTTCTTTTCTGCATGTCAATGTATGGGGGGAACTGACCTTGCCTTGCCCCTCTCCTCCTCCTCCCTCTCCCTTCCCCCAATAAGTTAATTGCAACAAACGAAAGTCTGTCTGGGCTTTTAGATAATCTGGCCATATCTGAAGGGAGCTCTACCTATTGTATATTAAGTCAGTTCTCTATATATGTATTTTTTTACTCTTTGTGGATACAACCTAATTTATAATCTAACAAAAATTATATCATTTGCACATTGACTATTGCAATAAAATCTACTTTTTAATGAAGTCTTGTGGATATGGGTGTCTTGATGCATAGTTTTCAATCCTTACAGCTTCAGAATACCTTTAGGAAAATAGTAAGTAATTCAAGGGGATAAAGCTAACTTCAGAACATGTGTGTATTCTTCCCCAGGGCACAGGTGTGTGTTTAATAGAAGAACTGCATCACAGAAAAATGGTCAGAATTGGGAGTGTGTATGAGCTGCAGTGGCTCAAGTGGTTGAAATGTTGAACTGCAGGCTGTGGAAGGTCAGTAGTTCAGCAGTTCGAGACCCGGGTGCCGCATGACAGAGTGAGCTCCCGTCTCTAGTTCCAGCTCCTGCCAAACTAGCAGTTCGAAAGCAAGACATTGCAAGCAGATAAATAGGCACCACTTTGGTGGGAAGGTAACAGCGTTCCGTGCGCCTTGGTGTTTAGTCATGCCGGCCACATGACCACGGAAACGTCTTCGGCTTTGAAACGGAGATGAGCACCGCAACCCTAGAGTTGGATTCAACTGGCTTTCGAGCAAGGGAACCTTTACCTTTTTATGTATGTGTCCTTGTAATTCTTTTAAATGGGTGAACAGCAACATTTCAGTATACATCACCAAAAAGTCATCTCTGGCTGGCACCATAAGACATCTTACCATTCAAAGTCATTTTGTTTTAACACGGTTTTTCTTTCTCAAAAGGGGTGCAGTGGAGAATAAAAAGGCCTCTTGAGGCATCTTCACAAACAATCATAACTGCTGCCATATGTCTCCTCTGGTCTCTTTTCCCCACTGAGCCTGGTAAAATAGCAGATACAATTAAAAAGGAAATGTGTATACTTACCTTTTATGCAGCCTTGATGGAGTGTATGGATTTAGGCTTCACTCAAAGCCAAGTAGGATGTGTGTCTCCTGCTGGTCTTGCTCAATAAAATTTCCTATAAGGACCCCCTGCTAAATCAAGCACAGTGATCTTCAAGGTTCTTACCAGAGAGAGGTCCCAGGCCATTAAGAGCTTTAAAGGTTAAAATTGGTACTTTTGAGTTTAACTTGGCAGTCAACATAGATATTTCAAGATCCTGAATTAGTAACTCCATCAGCCAGTATGTTCTGTACTAACTCAAGTTGCTTTCAGAAACAGCTCCATACAGAATAATCTAGTCTTAAGGTTACAGTAGTATGTACTAAACTGCCTTCGTGAACCTTAGGTCTTTCTCTATGAAGATAATTTTGCATGCTGGTTTCTCAGATGACTATTGCCAGGTGTGGTAGCTATGGCTTGTGTGAACTTTCCCAGGCTAACAGAACTTCAGAAGTGTGAAGTTGCCACAAAAGGGGAGGAGGGTGAGTCTGCATGTGTAGCTCTTCTGGATTTCTGTAAATACACGCTTACTTAAATCCTGCCTAGGATAAATGAGGACTGCAGATGGAATGGGAGCCTCTGGGTTTAGAAACCTGAAAGCTAAAGAAATGTTAAAAGATGCTGTAATTTCTTCAGAT